CCTGTTTCCGTTTTCAGTTTTCCTTTCCATTTGTTTTTAAGTCCTTTCATTATGACTTCTACTTGGCACTTGTAGTTTTTCCATGCAGTGTCCATGTTAGCAAGGTGGGAGACGCCTCCCCTTTCCCAGGGCTTTGGTTTGGCTGCTGGGAGAAGACCCTCTTGGGGAAGCCCAGCTATTGTTCTCTTTTCTTTCTGGGTGGATTGTGTAAGTGCTTGGGCCGGAGGCTGCCTGGACAGCCCTGTTTGGAATGTGTTCAAGTATTTTCACTTCCTCATTGTTGTAAGCAGTCTTCCCTGGTTTTTTTCTCAGGATTCCTTCCATATATAATATCTACTTTTCTTCTTTTGCCTACTTCTTTCAATTTTCCTTGTACTTACTTATGTTTTCTGTCTTTTTACTCAAAGCTGTGCATCAATAGATGCTTTACTGCTCTTATTTATTTTTATTGACTTCCGTTGTTTTCAGTTGCTTATTTGTCATCCTTAGCTTTGCTAGTATAGCAGTTTTTTGTTTTTCAGAATATCCTGCAAATTGGTATGGTGTTTTTTGTTTGTGTGTGTGTGTGTGTGTGTGTGTGTGTGGAACTTGTGAGTAACTGAAGAAAGGTAGCTAAGGAGTTTTCCTGAAATATTTTTATTATTTGATGTCCTTCCTCTATTTTATTTCTAATGTTTATGTTCTTCGTTTAGAATGTCAGCCATGTTAAGCTGAATGGAGTGATCCGGTGGGACTTTCTTGTTTGAGTGGCAAAATAGTTTGATGGTGTTTGGGTATCCTTTACATATAGAAAGTGAAAGTGCTTGGAGTGCAAAGTGAAAGTGATCTGTTCCACTAGAAAGGGAGCAGAGCTTTGACAGCGCAAATGTGGTTTTCCCCTGACTTTTCAGGGTTTCCTTTCTAAATAAGCTCAATCTCTACAGTGTATTGATTCTATTTGTGTTAGCTAGGTGTGTGTGTTGGGCCAAGAGATGTCTACAGAGCACATTTTAAAGGGCAAATTATTCTTTAAACAGCTAATTATCTCTTTTCTGATACTTTCAAGCTTTAAGCCTGTTCGCAGGAAAGCAATTAGCTGCATTCAGATTTTCTCATGAGGGGAGGGGGTGTGTGTGTGTGTGATTGAGGGTAAGGATATGGTCTACTGGTGCATTAAATACTGCTTTTCTTCCATCTGTGAGCCAATGAGAATAGCTGGATTTCTTAGACTGCCATTCTCACTCAGATTTGCTAAAGCTTTTTCCGCTTTCTATAGGAAAAACAAGCTGGTGTGTCCCTTCCAGTTCATATCCACAAGATCCTGTTCAGATTTCTTCTCCAAATCTGCTTTTGTGACTCTGCTCTTTCAAAGGAGAAGAGAATGTGACTTAGTTCTGACAAGATTTTTGATAGAGAATTTGATTGTTTTGTGACAAGTGATTTATCCTGGAGTTGATAAGACGAAGTTGATAAGAAGGGTGGTG